TTAATCTAAATTATTAACGTTTTCTCATAGAAACAATTATAAAAAAAAACAGTACCAAGTTATCGATGAAACATAATAGCACTTGTTCGAAACCAACGGCGCCATTGAAAGGCCAGATAAAAAAAAATATTTATTTGTTCGGACGAATAAGATATTGTTCGGAAAAAATTAGATATTCATTCGGACAAATTAGATATTTGTTCGATCAAATTACATTTTCGTTCGGCGAAATGATACATGTATGACCAGTTTTCCTTTCCAACATCTTTTCCCTCTATTTTCAGGTAAATATCTTGGAGTCCACCTAACTGTATCAGGAAGTTTTCATGTTGCAAGATCAGAGCTCTATAAAACGGCGTTTAAAGCATATCATAAACTGAGAAATGATTTTGTCAATTTGAATCTTGGGATTAAAACGAGTATACACGTATTTGACTCTACTATTAAACCAATTCTTTTGTATAATGCAGAGGTGTGGTGTGCAAGTAATATCAATACTAAAGACTGTTTCAGAAATCTACCTTGTGAAAGAAGACACCTTAAATTCTGTAAATATATTCTTGGTGTTCATAAAAAAGTACAAATTTTGCAGTATTGTCTGAATAGGGAAGGTTCCTCCTGCATTATGATATTGTCAAATTGTTCATCAAAAGTTGGTATAGATTTGAAAATTTGTCCACAGAATTTCCTCTACTAAAGATGCATATAAATGTAGTAAAAAAACTTTGTAGATGGTAAGAACTTATGGTTCGCATTATACAGAAATTAAAAAATATACTGAATATCAAAGGTGAAGTAATTTGTTATGGGAAGCATAAATTTAAGTCACTCTGTCAAAAAACCTTATTAGATTATTATGTAAAAAAAAAATTGGTATACAAGTCAACAAAGTTATACTGATGGTAAATTAGGCACATATGTGAAACTCAAACAAAATTGGGGTTATGAGACTTATTTATCGGTACTTAAAAATTTTAATCACAGAAAATCTCTATGTAAATTAAGAATTTCTTGTCACAGATTGCAAATTGAAGTGGGAAGATTTACCAACATCCCTCGAGAAGATCGATTATGTAATAGATGCAATTCTAACAGTGTAGATGATGAAACTCATTTTTTGATCATAACATGTTAAAAATATGATCGTCAAAGAAAAGAAATTTTTCAGCTAATTAAAATTTCCAAATTTCTCGGCGTATGATGAACAAAAACTTTTTTGGTTACTCAATACTGACGACAAAGAAACTTAATTTTGTGGGCAAATTCATAAATGATAACATGTTGTAGTACCATACACTTTTATATATAGTATATATTTTAACTGAAACAATATTATTGTTGAAAGGAGCAATGCCATTTACAAATTGTTATACTATCCATTGGCATATCTTTTCCTTATTATTGTAATAATTTCATACTTGTCTCTTCTGTTCTAATTGATAAATAGAATGCATTAAACAGTAGTTTACCATTGTTGTATTCTGTGCAATTCTGACAACGGACCGATGACAGCGGACTGAATTTTGTCATGACAACGGACATAATTTGAATTATAGCAAAAAAATTCAGATTTACTTTGCTTTGATTTTTATTTCAGGGGCTAACAATACTGCACAATATTACCTCTACCTAGTGTTGGGTATTGTTTTTGTATAAAAGGAAAATATGTTCATTTCAATGAAAATTTAAACAAATCAAAATATGTTTTAAGCAGGGTGGTGTATCGCAAACGCAAACTACTGTAATATAACCTGTTAATTTCTGACGTTATTGATGCACCACCAAATATATTGTCAGTTCTGTTTCCCATTGCAATTTGAGAGATTGTAATCAATTAACTCACTTGGAAAATGAAATTAAACTAATTATTAGTTCTCTGAAGTTATGACACCGGACGGATATCATCTTAACCTCACCGGTGAGGTCATGACAACGATCCAATTTTAGTGCTTAACTTTAAAGGTCTCTGACAACGGTACTGTAAATGAACTTAACTTGTTCCTGGCCGTGAATTCGCGAATGGATTAAGTTTGACGTTGTACACGTTAACGTTTATGTGTTTCTTTTCCTTTTGAAGGATGTTGTTTTCACGTATGCCTAAGTATATAATACCAAAAACAAAACAAATATGAAAGGAATTCAAATTTAAAATATGCTATTTATTCCGTAGATGTACTAATTTTGCTGTTTTCACGTATATTTAAATATTTAACACTGCAAACAGAATAAATGGGAAAGGAATGAGAAGGGAAAATAGCAATATATGCTATCTAATCCGTAAATTAACTTATTTCTAATATTTCATATGTAAAGTACTTTTTCTTATTACGGGTAATGCCATTATGTCATTTACGGAATAATCGGAATTTTACTTATGTTTTTAATTTTGTTGGACTTTCGGTGTTCAAAGAAATTAACATATACAGTGAAACTTGCCTAATCCGGATGTTGTATAATCCAAAATCTTGCCTAATACAATGCAAACTTTAAGTCCTTTTCAGTAAATTTATTTGTTTAAAATGTTGTCCAATCCGGAATGTTGTCCAATCCGGCCAATTTCTTTAGAACGATTGGTGTCCGGATTAGACAAGTTTTACTGTACATCATCCATTTCCTATTTATTTCTTATTAGATGAAATGTAAAAACTAAACATCTTAATTTATAGGCCTTAACGGAATAAACGGAATATTTATTGTTGTAGTATCACTGTTCAAACAGAATAAAGCATACGAAATAAATAGCAAATGCATTGAAGTGTATGTGGTAAAAACGCTAATTACAATACATTTTACTGATGTTGGAAAAAAGTAATTTTACGGCGTAAATGCATTATTGTTGTATTTCCTTTGCTTCCTGGATTATTAGTCTTTAAATCATACAGAATGACTTCAAAGCGTATTTGATTGGTTGACTAAAGATTAAACAATGAGAAAAAAGTTTACATAGTTCGTCGCGTATTCTGCCTTTTTCTTTGCTGCACATAGTAGAGGTATGATAAGTTTTTTCTAATGGTTTTAAATCCTTCATCATCGAAGTAAATATTCTTTATTTATAAGATATTAGGAAGAAAAAATAAATTAATGATACTTCTGGTACATTTATCGTTAATGAAGAAAAATAAACTCAATTATTTCTCATTTTAATAGATCTAACGTCAGAGAACAAAATCGTCATCATCGGACCAAACAAAGACACTTCTAGAATACGGATTGGATAGTTTTCGCTTTCTTGGATTGGCAGGATCCTTCTCACGGAAATTTGGTGGATGACAAACTCTGTCTGTCCGATGACGGGAGGCTGGTGCTTTGTCTATTAAAAATAAAAATATAAGAGGAATTCAGTAGAAGAAAAAAATGCAAACTCATGTCTATATTACAATAGTCCAATCCACACTTTACAATTGTTGTTTGCGCGGTCAACCAAAACTCTTGTTTACACTTCCAAATGTTAGGGCATGCTGCTACAAATTTACTTTGTGTAAGTTTTGTTTTCCTTGAATGTGTAGGTACCAAAATTACTGGGCAATTAAATGACTACATGTTAAGGTAATTTTTAAAATTGAATGACAAAGATACAAAGTTGAAAGTTACAAAGCATATGGTATTTGTCCCAATTATGGCGGCCAAGGGAAATGACTTTTGGAAAGTTTGGATTAAACTATACTTAAGAAAATGTGGACATAACAGATAACTGTATTCAATGATTAATTTTTTGTCTATTGTGTGTAATATTATGTGAGTATTCAAAATCCAAAACATTAAAATTATAATGGAAGACATATATTTTTAAATATTGTACACATTGCTTTAAACAAATATCTTTTTATGAGGTAGATGTTTAAAATTATTAATGATAAAAAATCAACATATATTTCAATGATGCTATAAAAATATTTAAAAATAGAAATATAATGGTTTATTGTGAAAAGATACCTTTCTTTGTAGATAACAGTTACGGATCCACTTGGATTCTTTGTAGCTTCTGTTTTACTGGACCCTTGCACATTTTCTGAAGAAACCTTGTCTCCCCCTAGGGTGCAAGACAAGTAAAAAACCATTATTATTTCATTAGTATGTCTATTCTGTAAAAAATTGTCAATAAATTGACGATCAATGCAATTATTATATTTTATAGGAGAAATGGCTGTACCTGATCTGCCAGTAAGTGGTTTCTTCATATCTGATTCCCTCTAGCTGTCGGAATTGATCACTATGGGAGCAGATTCAGCACCTGCTACTTCACCTAGGGTGTAAACACATAGGTAATATGAAATGTATTGCTAAACTTCGCTGTTATGTATGTAACATCATTTCATCCATAGTAAGGAAATAAATATTTAAACTTATTCTTACTTGATTTAGTGGGATGAACTGTCCGGTGTGCTTAGAACTTCGGAGTCGCTTTCAGCATCTGTGTTTCCTCAAATTATAGTTTCTTATTTTTATTTTATAAAATAACACAGGAAGTGATTTTTTTATATATATATATATGGACTTTAACATTATTCTATTTTACACATAGTTTATGAGAAAAATATCTTCAGCTAAGTATACTAACTTCTTAATTAATGTTTAAGATCCATTACTTTTTATTTCCTACTAATTCTATTGTATTAAACATATCATTTTACAGCAAATTATATTCAATTAATTATACTGACTTGTTAATTAATGTTTAACTTTTATTTACTTTTTTATTTTCTTCTAATATTGTAAATTTGCCAATTAATTAAACTAACTTGTTCATTAATGTTTAATTTTTTTACTCTTTATTTTCTACTAATATTTTAAATTTACCAGGTCTAATATCCCATTCTCCCAACTCATTTGTAGGAACACCAGCCAACGTGTCAAATAATGGTGTTGTGTACTTGTATGATGGTTGGATATCCAGTGGTTATACCACTGGATATCTATGATAGTATAACATATTTTTTAATACTTTAAACCAAAGTTATGCCTTTTAAATATTATTTCACAGAACATAAGTACACAAATTCTTACTTGATAAGGTTGAAGAAAGCATCATACGGGTTGGATTTCACGTGTGCCCTCCACATAACCTCTGCCATGTGACCCTCAAACGGTGAAAGTTTTGTTCCCGACATCTTCTTAAAATGATCCTTTGCATGTTTCCATGCATCTTCGATACGATTGGTGTATATATCGACTTCTTCACCTGTAACTTCATTGACATAATTTTTTTGAAAGAATACTAGTGAATGACTGTAAAGTGCTCAAAATTCATGTCATTCAGGGGGCAATATGCCGACCAGCCGTCACTGTAGATGGTGCTGCCTGGCATACAGTGGCGCTGAATGATGGGAAGCAATGTCTCCTCTGTCCTGTCTGCTACTGGATACAATATAATTGTATTCGTTTCCCTCTCAACCATTCCAAACACCCATATCTGAAATATCACAAAGAAGAAAAATTATGGTATAAAATAATCAATTGTATTTCTGTAAAAATGGGGAATAACTCCGAATTTCTTTTTTTAATGATTTATCTCCTTTCCTATTTGTATTGTTATTTTAATTTGTTTTTACTGTATGTGTTTTTCAATTAAAATTAACACAATTTTTATATTAATTTGCAAGGCATACAGTTTAAAGATCCATTGTTATTGAGGAATAATTTGTTAACTTACCATTTTTTAAAATGTTTATATTTACCAAGCAAATACCATGGCATGCTATATATATATATATATATATATATATATATATATATATATATATATATATATATATATATATATATATATATATATATATATATAACCTTTAGTCCAGTGTTAGGATTACCCTTGTTGTGCTTGACTCGTCTACCAAATAAGGACTCGTCAATCTCTATGACACCAGACGGCTTCTTTGTTTTTATGTGGTTTTGAAAATGTTCCTTAAACAACTCCCTTATATACGAATCCCAGCGGACTGCAGCGGTGTTGTAGGTAACCCCTGAGAATCGCGCGCATTGGGCGAGAGAACAACCATCCAAATAAGATTTAAGAAATAAAATTAAGTCTTGAATAGCCAATCTAGTTTTCTCAAAAAGGGAGTTTGCCTTGCAATTTCTAGTATGTAGCCTCTGTACGTTGCACCTGAAAAGGGAACCTCCTGGGTTATTAGCAGATGCTCGTAAATGCATCGTCCCTCCGCAGTTGGCAGTTGTGCAGGGTACTGAAGTCACTAATAGACCCTTCCTTCTCAACCATTCATAAACTAAGTCATCAGGTAAAGTCATTAAGGAATAAAAATTCCACGGATTTTCCAAATCTGTTGGTGTAATTTCCATGAGGTTCTCCCTCTTCCGTTCTCTGTAATTGACACCGCTCTTTCTACTTGCCATTCCTAACCCTATGTAACCCGTTTCTTAAACACCAACCCTTAGATATTGCCAATTAAAAACCACGTGACCATGATTGCTTTTCATCAGTAGACAAGCAAACAATAGCCCAAGGAAATAAAAAAGAAAGGAAAATTTATTTTTAACGATTTATTTCTTTTTCATGTTTCCATAATGTCTTGTAGAACTACCCAAATACTGGTATTGCCGCATTGCTACATTCCAAACATAAAAGGCATAATTTCTTCCATTCTCAAATAATCTGAAAATTATGATTTTATTGTTATAATTTCCCTCCATCTAACAAAAATATTTTAATTAAAAAAAAAAAATTCTGGGGTTAACCTGCACATGTTTTCTATATATATATATGTGTGTGTGTGTGTGTGTGTGTGTGTGTGTGTGTATACTAACATTAAATATTGAATTAACCTGAAAAGTGCCTGAAAGTGACTCCTTGCAGTTCTGTTTCGTGCCAGAGTCATAACATGTACCCATTCCAAGAAAATGGCGGGATTCAAACCGTTAACAAAAACGAAGATGACAGTTAGAATCCTCTGAAAATGACGGAGATAGGGAGTCCAAAATAGTCTTCTAATCAAATGTGGCCATTCTCTTGCTGGACCTATAATGTCTTGTATATTAGACAATAAGTTATAAATTCTTCTGTTTCTCTCTCTGTCCATGGCAAATGGCATGTGATTGTTTAAATGGACATGTTCCTTTATAGGGACTTGTTTTATGTTTTTTCATTAAAATGTGCTTATTTTTATTTAAATTATTTGTGTTCCTTCTTTCAAATTATTCAGTGTGGTGTTAAGAGTGTTCAAGGCGTTCACCAGCCAATTGCCTTCATAGGACTCGTACAGTGCAAGTTTAATGTGAGTGATGAGTACTCAGATGTATAGATCGCAGTTGCCGTTCGTTGACGCAGTGGGCTCGAAAATGAGAAAAAAATTTGTAATGTAGATATTGGAGAAGATTTTATATATTTCCCTTTTAGGGAAAAAATTAAATTTACTTGCACCTGTATTATAGATTTGCAACCTGATTTTTAAAGTTGTGTCGGTACAATACAAAAGAAAAATTATACAATACAAATGAGAAATTATACAATACGAATTGAAAATTAGACAATACAAATATTAATGGAAAATTATACAATACAACTGAAAAAAATTTACAATACAAATAAAAATTATACAATACAAATAAAAGTTATACAATACAAATAAAAAAATATACAATAAAAATGGAAAATCTTACAATACAAATGGAAAATTTTTACAATTCAAATGGAAATTTATACAATGCAAATGGAAAAGATCGAATATTGCAACGTTTGACATGCCATAAATATCAATGTCAGTCTGCCTAAAAAAATTCTTATTGACCTAGACACTGTTGAAAACAAACATGAACGTTTATAAACGTTTTTGATTGGCTTTAGAAGAGAATATTTAGCTAAATGGGGGGCGGAACACACGCTGGAATATTGTGCGTTACCATGATTTACTTGACTTATTCCTGTTCTCTCCTTAGGGAGCATGGGGCCGCAAACACACTGCGACAGCGATGTTACCATAAATATCATTAATTTCTCGTTAATGTATCCAAAACTACTGAAGGGGCGAGTAGAGCCGACATTTTTTCTTAGAATTGATTAAATATTATCTAAATATGAAAGATAATCAAATAATGGCATGATACCCTAATCTGGGTATATCTTCGACCTGATTAATACGATTAATTACATTTCCAGGAGCCATGCGTCTTAATGACGTTTAAGCCCACTTTTGGAGTAATTGTGATATTTATTTTTTTGTACTTATATAGAAAAATTAAGGATACATGTATAATCTAATGGAACTTCCTAAACCTACTAATGAATGTTTCTTTTTTTTAAACTTTGCTGTGGATCGAACGAATTATTTCTTCTTTTTAGTGATATGCTCAAAATGCACGATGCACTAAAACACCTCTTGTAGAATCTTACAACCACAGATGGTGTAAATTTCTAGTAGATGGTGTCATTGAAACCACGTTTGGAGTAACTGTGATATTTATTGTTTTATACTAATACAGGAAAAATATGGATATAAATTTAATGGAACTTCCTAATTCTACTAGGTTATAAATACTCCGTTGTGGAGTGAACGAATTAGTTCCTCTTTTTAGTGATATGCTCAATGTAATGTGCACGATGCACTAAGACACCTCTTGTAGAATCTAATACCAACAGATGGTGTTAATTTCCAGTAAATAATGTCTTAGTCAAACCAATGCACATCAAATTATGCACGTCAAAAGTACCTCTAAGTTTTATCAAACAAGAATTTTAATGTTAATGCAATCTATATACTTTCTTTTTATATGTAATAATTCTCAAAAATCAAAAGGCAATATATTTCAGAAAATCAAAGATAACTACAGGTGTCATTCTTGCAGCCAATCGTACGATCACATATTTCCTCTTCAGAACAATTGCATTTCTGGCGACACCCAAAGCCATAGAATCCGGCTGTACAAAGCATTTTACATTTTTCTCCCCAGGATCCAATGCAAGCTTTAAGAGAATTTTTCACTGAGGTGTAAAAAGTTTTAGACACATGGTTGTCGTAATATGAAAAGCTGATATTTAGAAAAAATAAAACTTACCCTCACAGATTCCTGTTAAGTTTGAAAAATCTTTACAGCATTCAGTAACTTCTTTTTTGCTGTATATCTCCAAAGTCTCTTCTTGGTAATAGAATAAAAAACTTTCAAACACTTCTTGAAATATTTCGACCGTGTTACCGGCCTTCATCAGTCGTGTTTATCTGAATGCATGCAATGTCATCTTGTCAGCAAATACAATCTATCATTAAGTCAAATGCTGACTGACTTTTTTCATACTAATTGTTAGAACATTATTTACACACTGAATTTTTGACGGATTTTCATGTTATTTCCCGATCATGACAAGGAGCACACAGCGGATGTGACCGGTCGGCAGGGGATGCTCACTCCTCCATGCCACCTAGAGGTCCGTATTTGCTTTGCTCCTATTTTGTAATGTTTAATCGACTTTTGAACTCGAATACTTTTCGTAATCTCCACATATTTCATTTAGAGGACCAATTGTAAATCTTTTCAATTTGGAAGTACATAAAATTGATCCTTGCAAGAATTATATTTGAAACAGTACTTTCACTAACTTGAAACAAGTAACTCAGACTAATGTCTTCTGAAATATAGAATCAACGAACAGTAGTCAAGCTCAAAAGTTCATTTTAACAATACAAATTGAGAGCGGAGCAAACACGGACCTCTAAAATGTCAGATGTGGGATCAGGTGCCATAGAGGAGTAAGTATCCCCTGTCGACCGGTATCACCTGTGCTTCTTGTCATGATCGGCAAACGGAAATTAAAATCTATAGACAATTCAGTGTGTAAATAATTGCCTAACAATTGTATAAAAAACGTCAGTCAGCCTTCGACTTAATGATATATTGTATTTGCTGACAAGATAATTGTATCGACCATAGGACTTAAGAAATGATGACATCAAACAAGACTGTTGATGTCCTTGTTTCATCAACTTGTTTGTCATTAACTGTCTCATTTAAAGTTGTTCGCACGTAGAGCATGCTTTTGCGTATCGAATCAATTGAGAGCAATAAACTCCATATGCAGGTGATAAGGGTTCATTGCTACATAAATAAGAGAAGTTAACGTTTGAAACGTCAAAGTGACCACGTTTATTATAAAATTTTATTGTTAGATGAGTATTAACGTCTTTTTCTAGTAAAATATACAAATATGAAACAGATGTGTCAGACTCTGTAATATATCTTATTTCAAACTCGCTGGGATATATCGTGTGGACATATGAATGGAAATAATTATTGTTAATTGAATAATATATATATCTAAATGTGAGTTGAAGGTCACAACAATTGTTTTCTTCTTCTCATGTATAAGATTTTGAATAAATTCTGCTTCATATGAATACAAAATTAAGTCTGCTTATTAGAGGGCGCAATTGGTTCACAGGGACTTCCAACAGATTGATGGAAGACCTAGTCTCCAAAAACCACATAGATATTGTCAATCAGAAATTCAAGCATCTTCAGAGTACTTTTGTGTACAATCAGAAAAAATGCAATTTGTAGCGTAGTTTGTACTCGAGTTGTATAAAAATAAATATACATTAAGTGCTTACAAGTATTATTCACACATCGAAATTTGCGATTATATGTTTCCTCATCAGAACAGTAACATGCCTCACGGCATCCAAACCTGTAGAACCAAGGAGTACGTACACGGATTTTTAGCCCCCCCCCCCCCCCAGCCCCCTCACACACACACGTTCGAACACATGCTTCAATAAAAAGAGTGTCTTTATTTCTTCATCTTCAGACATAAATCTGGGGTAAAGCACTTAAATAAATATATATTATTCATACGCTCAAAGATCCCTGTTAAATTTATAAGTTCCGTTTGCTAATAAGGCAAATAAGGGTGTCTGAAATTGTACACATTTAGTAAATATAATAGTGATCAAAAAGTTCGCGAACTATCTCTATATTTTCAGAACCACAATTCAGATCAGAATGAAATTTGGCACACATATACTCATTCAAATGTTCTACAAATAGCAGATGCTATGTTATGTTTTGCTCCATGTTTGTGACGTCACAATGTGAAAATGACGTCTACATGTATATGTAGATGACTTGTGACAGAAAATGGTTGACTCAATCGTACTCGAGCAACGAACCGCTTTAAAGTTTTTCGTATATCTTGGAAATTCCTTTACAGTAACATAAAATAATTTGTATAAGGTTTATGAAGACAAAAGACTTGCCAGAAGTTTAATCATCAATTGGATTGGTTGTTTTAGTGAAGGAAGGGAGATCTTTAAAAATGATGTTTGTTCTGTTGCCCATTGAAAGCAAGCTGGGGGAGAGATGTGTCCTTGGTTGAGCAATTTGTTATGAAAGATCGCCAAGTTACAGTT